ACAACTGTCATGAACTACCCACAATACATCACTAACTCGGCTCAGTCTGACCTCCAGCACGTCCTGAAACTGAAGAAACTCTGAAGAGAATGTCACTTCTTGTCGGAAGATGGAGTCAGGACAACGATGAAGATGTGGTTGCGTCAACAAGTTGGGCATTTCTAAAACGACGGACTGAAGAAACAACTTGAGCCTTGGCGGAAGTGTGTGGACAGCAGATCTGATTATGTTGAGAAGTGTGTGAAATTTCATAATAACGTTAAACAAATGCATCCATTTGTGTTTCGGTGAAATATGTTCCAGTTACAGAAGAAAAAACATATGAGGCATTACTTTTCAGAACGTTCTCGTAACTCGACTTACAAAAAATATAACTAAAATTTGTTATTACATTCGTCTTCTTTTCCTTGCCCTAAACAATTGTACGTTGTTGGTCTCGTCTTTAATAACGAGTTGAGAACTTTGAATTTTATTGTTTTCTCAGTCTTCGTCTGTTTTTTTCTTCTATATGCTTCTTTATTTTTCATTCTCTTGTCGTTTTTCTACAATACTTGATTGCTTTCAGTTTTATTAACGCAATTTTATTCGACCTGAAGCCATTTATTAAACAAGTATTTAATTTTTTTGTCTTCATTGAAAGTTCCAAAAGTGATAAAAAAAATTTATTTAAACTATAATTTCCCTCTGCTCTATTTTATTATTCGCACTCTGTTTCCACAAAAATGTGTCTGTTCCGGCCGAAATTAGAACCGGAATAAATTCCGTGTTACCGTTTGAGCTAGCTTGCACGGCAGGTAATTTTAAGTGTAGTATATTCCTATAATCGACTTTTGATTTCTCGTCATTCATTTTTCATAACCTGAGTGCAGTCGGGGTTCTATTCAATTCAGAATCAGCAGAAATACGGTCAAGGACTCCCTACCGTTTGTCGGGACGGTCCTTCAGAACCTATCTGCTTGCTTGCTTGCTTTCCATGGCTTGCTAATAATTATTCCTCGAAGCGACGGAGCGTGGTTATTGCGGGGTCGTTCAGTGATTCGTTTATACGCTGTGTCGGCTTGAGGAACGAACACACGGAAATCTTCTCAGCAGCAAAGCCACCCCTCAGTTGCATCCTTCCTCTAACGTGCCGGCATGGATGGATGAGCTTTCTCTCCGAAAAGTAATTTTAACTTAACCCTCCTCCACTGCCAACAGAACTCTCATCCTGATCCAATATCAACGCAGAAGAAAATTACATTTTAGCAACAAATTACTAAAGCGGAACTGAATTCTAAAATGCAAAACAGTTATCTAGGTTACTGCTTGCTCTAGCTTCGAGTATCGTCATATCTGGTTAAAAGTGAACTTAACAGGGGTATGACTTCGGCTTTTGGAGATTAACAGCGTCGAACTTTGAGAATTACCCAACTTTTCATCAAACACTGCAGTTGCCATCTTCAGGAACGAGTCACCACTTTGGACAGCAGCCCGCTCTTGTGGTCCACCAATCAGCACCATCAAATCCAACTTACCACCTGCCCTATATAAGGCTTCCAAAACGTCCAACCTGTTTACATTCACCCAGAAAATTACAATTGCAATGTTTGCTAAAACCAAACGTTGGATAATTCTCAACGTTACCGTGAAGTCGAACTTCCACACTGAACTCCAGCAGCGAAAGCCTAAGGACAAGATTTAAGCAAGGGTGCTAAGGTAGCATTTCTGTGACCATAGCACACTAACATCCTCTATCTCAGCTGCTGCCACCACAAAATAGGCACAGTTACAATAGAATGTTTAAATATAAATATACACGTTCAAGGTAACTGTGTATGGGATGTAATGAATTCATTCTGCATATCCTTGGAATGTAATGGTATAATTTAAAACCCTTCGTCTTTCAAGCGAGTCCCGCAAAGTTTAACGTTATTTTTGCTATTATTCATGTATTTTGCCTGTCAGTTGCTTCACTACCATCATGTAAACGTACTCTAGACCGAAGTATCTTCCGCGAAAAGATGACGCTTATTCAACAGAAAAATCTGTCAGGATCAGTTTCCGGTAAGAGATTTAAACCCGGGACCTACATAATACAAGACAGGGTTGCTTACTCAATACTTTTTTAAGCCTTCTGCACTGCAGTGAAAATGCACGTTTCTGCGTTCGGGAATTTTATAAATTGCCGAACTGCGTTTTACCCCTGGTTTGTAGTAACCACGCTTTGCATTTCCTTAACTAATCCCATGAAGCTTCCAGCCTCACTGTCAGAGCCAGTGCACTATATTCCTGACATCTGCATATCTCTTTTCATAACGAACTGCGGTGTTGATGATGAGTATTGTTCAACCTGCTGAATATAATGCAATTTTGATCCAGAGCGTGAAATGTAATTTATAATATGTGCGTTATCCGTCACGAGAATTTCAATCTTATTTAAATTCACATTTATTCCATGTCACGTTATTCTGTAATGTATTTCATAATTATGTGCATACGTTATCGTACTAGTTTTTACCCAGGTTAAGATTAAGAAAAGATTAAATTGCTTTCAACAACACTGACACATGTCTGTGGTATGCGGAAAGTGGCATCGCTTCAAAGCAGGTAAATGATAAAGTTTTAAGATTAAGACTCGTTATTCTAGTTGTTAAATTCAGTTTTAGTCGGGTTTTCTCACGAGAGCCGCACCAGAATGTTAAGTGATGTTTTGCATATTAATTATAAGTACAAAAGCCGAGCGTTACAGATGCCAGCTACATGCAGTATGTGGTTAAATGAGAGTACAGCCGCTTGTACTTTCACGACAAAAACTGTTTCCCCAATGTCGGTGACGGAAGTGCTTGCCGCGGGGGTGAGTGTAATGACTACCGAGAGGTGGTGATGTTCCCTGTTATGAGGGCGTCGGAAAAGAGTAGACGTCTGTGGAGTGCGGGAAGGCTACGATGGCAGGAAAACACGAAAATTCAGTCTGCTGAAGACAGAAGTGCCAACATCAGCAGATTCGGTTGTTACAGGACAGAAACCGCGACCTTGAATCGTTAGGTCGCAGGTTCGAACACCACAGAGGGGATATTAATTATTAAACATATTCTACCCACTAATTTAGGACTCCTATAAAATCATTCATCACCTAAGAAGCGCATTGTATCCTTCCAAAGAATATCTTAAAAACACCATTTTAGACCACTTATGTTGATAGGGAATTTCTTTGTATGTCACAATAAGACTTTCAGAGGACACGTTTCAAATATTCTTTAATCGCCATCCTCGTGAAGCCGCCATGTTGCTACGACTCCATCTTCCTTTATAACATGATTTAATAAAAGTTGCATGCGTTTCCAGAATTCCTTACGTATAATCTTGTTGGTATTGCTTACACTTCACAAACACGTAATGTAGCGAGTACCAATATATGAATGCGTCCGCTGCTACGATTTCTATAGAGATTTTCAAAAAAGACTTTCAGAAAGGTGTTGGAGGTTAACAACGGAGTAATTTCAGGGCCGCGGAATAAGAATGTACATCCGGAAAACTTCTTATTACGCGTGAAAAGTAGCAAAGATTCTGACAACCACGTATTATGTACAAGAGTTTCACAACGTTATCCGTACTACGTATTATAAAAGCTAAATTAGTCCCTCTCTATTATCCTTCTTTAGCCCGTTAGATCACGCAGCAAGGTTTTCTATTACGGATCGGCATCGAAATACTAAGTTTGTTCTCTTTCCTCAGGTATTCACCAACGAAGATCTACATCAAGTTATTTTCAGTTCGTATTTAGAGCGCCGTTTACTCCGTTATCTGACGACCATTAAGAGCGCCGTACTTGAACGCAGACAGAGCCATGGCACCCTCAGTCGACGTCTGAGATTTTTCAGACGGACAGAGAGAAATGCGACGGAAACACAACAGGTGCCAGCACTCCCGCCCTTTGACTGCTTTGTCAAGGGAATGGGCGTAGTCGTGGCAGTCCAGTTGCGCAGAGCTAGCTTCTACATTTATCTGCTTCAGTCGTCGTACGTATCACATCAACCTCATGCATCGCTTCCTGACATATCTGTCAAAATAGAGGGTCCAAATAGTGACCATGGGGAAGTAATAATTCAAACAACGTGTTTCAACAAGTGGAGTAAACAGACTAAAATACATTCACAATCCTGTGTGTGCCAACCCTGTGAACGTGTTTGTAATATACCAATCAACTACAGCGTGACTTCCGGAAATATCCGTGTTAACTATGTGCCACAGAATCCTGGTTTACATGAATTATCCATTACAATGTGTGATAAACATGTTCCAGGGTCTCCTTACTTGATCTCAGTTGACAGGAAGGATCCAGATATAACAGGACCCTTGACTCCTGGAATGTCTGCCGATAAGAATGACCCGAGGATTCTGCCAGAACGGAGGAGGCACAAAGTTTTGTTTCGAATAGTAGACTTCGTGACAGAAAAGATGTTACTGACAGAAGACGGAGAGTTGAAACAATTGCCTTCTGAGATCAGGGTGACTGCAAAACGTTTTCCGAGACAGATGGCAATTCACTCGTCACCTCACGGAATAAGCAATAGTCCCTTCTCTTGCTACACAGATGACAGCACTGAAGAGTACAACATGCAACACGGAACTATTAGTAGCAAAGGTAAGAAGCATGAAACATCATTTGCGATGTCACCACTGAGTGGTGACATAAAGCAGGCACCTTCACTTACCCACAAACTCGAACGACGGGATTTGAATTTTTTCAGAGATAAGTGCAAAAAGGTTGTGTTATTATGCAGTATTCTCTCAAGTCTAAATCCTAGTCATAGCAGTTTCCATCTTCTGGATTCCGCTGAGCAATTACTGGATGGAAGGCCAGTGAGATTGACAGAGAAAACATTCAAGTTAATTGAAAGTGCTTTAAAATATATTAAACCAGGAATCAACGAATGTATCATGTATCCAAGTAGTGAAACAAATATGTCTGGTAAGAAATTTCTTCAAATTGAGGAAACTTTCTGCAGTGTGGGTGTGAGTGGTGACTGCAAACAGATAAGCCTACTCATGGAAAGCAAATACGTGCCTTCGCGTTTACATAAAATAAAATATGAAGACAGAAATGTTATAGATATCACGAATTTCAATAAACAAATCACTGCCTTTACACCAAATCTGTCAGCAGTTCGACGTAAAGTCGACATACAAGCGAGCATGAAACTTAACACTGCAATCACAGTTAATTATATTCCTATCTACGAATTTAATTGTGATAAAATATTGCCAGTTAGCTATGATATTGACAGCAGCATTAAATGTCATGTTTATGGTGTAAATGACCTGAATAAAACAAATGAATTTGATAACAACAGAGTAAGAAGTAAGTTCAAGAAGGAACTCTGTATGGGAACTCTCATTAGAAACCCTTCACGACAAATAACCGAATATCTTATTCTCTCCACGATACAGTCTGGAAAAGAACTCGAAATGATGTCGAGAGTTAATATTTCAGAGGAAGAGGTACAAGGAGAATATGCGATAGTGACTCAGAAAACAGATGACGTACGCGTCAGAAGCAGTAAAACATGCGTAAATCCAATTATTGACGCCATCCACATTCCTCGGGGCTTAGAGGCCACTGAGCAGTGGTGTGATGTGGTTAAGCTGAAAGAACGCGTGGTTTCACCTGCTTCAGGGAAAACCTCTAAGAGCATGAAAATATGTTCCAGAAACGATAAATATTTCCGACATGCGAACCGCCCAACGCAAGGTATATCCAATTGTGATCCGTCTGAATTGAAACTTGAAGCTAATTGCAAAAAATGCTTCCAAGTAAACAGAAATAAATCGAGTACAGAAATTATCGGTACAAGTTATTTCATTAAGGCCACTGAAATATTCGTGAACAAATGTACCCCATCACGTACTGAAAAGAATCACATGAACATAAAATCCAGGCAACAAACTGGTGCTGAATTAGTAGAATTTTACAGAAATGACAACATTCCAATCACTGAAATTAAGGATGAAGATACTGTGTTCCTAGAAGACCACATACGGCAGAAAACCGCAGAGACAATGGAAACTGATGCCCCAGATAACGTAATATGCAATAACAATAAGAAAAGTTACACCTTTTCACCTCAAATACTACGAAAGCCTGGTGGCAATGATTCATTGCAATTAAACAGCAAATGTGGGCAGAAAGAGGCAACACACATAAGCCTCTTAGCAGAGGTCACATTGGAACTGAAGAACAGAGTGGGACCTGCACTCGATTCTAACCCATCACATGACAATTTGTTTGTCAAGCCATCTCGTTTCATGGATCTCGAAGATATCCTTAGTCGTGACTTCGCAGCCTCCATTACGTCTAGCAGCGACGGCCATCAAAGACACGAATTCTATCATCAGTCATCAGATATCGCGTTATCACATCTTGGTGATATATCAGATTACTATGATGCGATAGACTTCGATCTAGTCTTAGCTGCTCAAGATTTGGAGGAGGCACTGAGTAAATTAGATCAAGCACTACAAGGAACAAAAGAAAGAAATGCGTGTGGAAGCATAGTTAAAATGAGCGAACTGTATGTCAAGGCAAGACACAAGACTGAGACGCCATCTCCGGAATCAAACGTTACTAATGACAGTTACGTCGCCGAAGATTACGTTGTTCGTTCCGATATTCAGGGATACGGAGAAGTGGGAGATAATCGAAGTTTCAACTCTGGTGACTCTGATTACAACATTTTAGACGATAAGCAGAATTATGTCGAGCAGATTTCGGTTAATGTCAAAAAGGGTGTAATCAAAAGCGATTCCAATAAAAGTATAAAGAATAATGAGTCCAGAGATATTAATAAATCTGTTGGTTCTAAAAGGTACAGTGAAGACAAAGGAGGGAATCAACAGTTGTCAAGAAATATCAATTGTGCTGATCCTCCAGAGGAAGAAGTCTTGGGTATCGTAGATGATAAAAGTAGAAATAATACTGAAAACAATCACAGCGATGCGCCACTTTCTGGAAACTGGGCATCAAAATCAGAACATCTGCAGCATTACCCTCGTATTTCGTCAGAAGGTACGTCCATAATGACGTCAACAGAGGAGCAAAACGAAGAAAATTACTTACCTCACAGACACATGGAAATGGATGTCCTTATGCAGGAAATTTGCCAGAGCATTGGCAATTTCACTTTAACGTCTGAGGCACCAGACGGAGAGATGCAGCAGCAACAAGACGAAGACACGGATATTGAAGACGTTACAATGGTATGTAGTTCACGAAATATTGTATTATTAGAAGGCAATTTTACAAATACAGAGACACTGAAAAATACTCCTTTTATTAACGATAAAACTTTGTTCGGTGAATCAAACAGTTGTCAGTGTAATGAAATGGAATGTTCAGGAAACATAATAAGCGAAGTCCCCGAGTATGTTTCAGTTACCTCAACAGCCACAACGATGTGTGAAAGAAAAGGACCCTTGGACACTTGCAAAGATGCATATGCCAGAGTCAAAGGACAAGAATGCTTAAGAGATCATAAATTAGAGGAAGTAAATTACAAAATTAACGAAGTCAAGACTCATCGTGAATCACAAACTCATAACAAACATTACCTTAGTAATTACCTAGGTAACGAATACTCGAGTATGACGGAGCAGCCTGCATTTAATACCAATGTAAACAGACAACAGGAAACAAACAAAACAGATGTTCGAAATTCATGCACATCGATTGAAAATATTCCGGAACAGGTCAAATCGACGTTACAATCACACAGTGCTAGAGTGGACTACAGTATTCGTAACAAAACAGAAATATCTGAACCAAACCAAGAAACACTAGAGGGTGCCTTGAAAGTACTTGCAAATACTGTTGGCGTTACAAAAGCGCCCGATGCAGACACCCAACACCAAATTATGATAGGGAATGACTTAAGAGACAAATCAAGTCTGGTGCTGCCATGTGATTCTAAGCTGGCACACGAAAATATCCATGTCACCTTCCAACCGTTGAAGAAGATGGTGGCAAATGACGACTTCACTGCGGGTTCTGTCGGTAACATTTTACCGAAGACCGAAAACAGCGATAACGAATTCCAGTTCCATGGAGGAAGTGAGCATGCTGACACGGAGAGAACAATCTTCCATCAGCAAATAACTTATAGGAATAGAAACAGTATTACCACTTCACGAAGACTTAAAGCGTCTCCAGAAGCAGCCAATTCACTCTTGTCGCTAAATTCTTCAAATGAAAATCATGCTACTGATGAATCAGAATATCACAAAGAAAACGAAAATTCGCCTAATATGGTCCGTAGCTTAAAAAGGCCGAAAGTCATTTGCAGAGTCTTGCCACTCGAAGTCATGTCTCATGTAAAGAGAGAGATTTCACCAAGCGCCTTGTCAAATACGAACACTGATTTTAAGAAAATTTCCAGTGTTTTACAATGTACAAGTAATAAAAATAATATTTCGTGTGTGGAAGAATGGACCATTACCGAAAGACATCCAATGGTACAACATTCATCTCACGTGGGCAGAGTGACAAACAGTGTGCCACAAGTAACAAGCGATAGGCCTCCATCGCGAGCGATAAGCCTCCCCCAGCCAGACGTCATTACTACAGACACAGACATATTGCGTCCATTAGTAGCGCAGGAAATTGATCCAGAAGTGCGTCTAGCGGAAACTGGTTCTGATAACGAATTATCAAATAAAGCGGATATGTACGTTGACAATATTACGATAAATTTGTCTGAAAATATATTTTGCGTAAAAAATAAAACAGAATGTTTAAAGAGACCATTATTAGTTAGAAATAGCACAGAAACATCTTTTAAAAACTTGCATGAGGTTTCTGCTACAGCATGTTACAGGGATGATGCTTGTAAGATCAAAGATAATTATCTAACTAAACAAGAAACTGAAGCGGAAATTCCAGAAATGAGCAACGCAAATAGTACGAATCTTGTCACAGCGAAAAGTTCCATGGGAAGTATATATGCCGGTGATGATTATGAAATAGTTCATCCAGCAGATTACAGTGTGAAGAAAGGCATGGAATTTAAACTCTCTGACAAAATTCAGAATTGTGCTACCGTAACGGAGTCAAATGCAACCAAATGCTATATCAGAGTGGTGTTAATGAAACACAGACCAAATGTTCAACACTTGCCAACATTCGATTATATTGATGGATTTCCAACACCCATGCGACTGACCCGAAAGAAAGTGAACTGGGATAAGAAACTGATTAAACAAAAAGACGTAACTGTTCAAAGAGAAAGGTTTGAGAGAAGTGTTGCCTTAAATTCTATAAAGTACCCAACATTTTGTAAGAGCGACGTAAGCCATTGGTCTACAAACAGAAGACGGGCATCAGTGCGCAAATCAGGAACAGCTAACGAACGAAAACAGGCATCAGACAAAACAGTGTCAAGAAATGAATCTCATTCTGAAGTTATTCCATTTCGCAACCAGTGGAAATTTCCTAGCCATGATACTTGCAATGAAAACGCTGTAGCTCAATGGAGAATATATGGAAACGATTTAGTTGGCACTCAGAATGTCAGAAATAAGCTTTTAATGTACGACAGTATTAATATAACAAAACAGAAATTGACGAAAGTCTCAGATTCAGTGACAAGAGTAAAGTTTGAAGGAAAGTTCAGTATTTGTGGCAATCAGAAAGGCACCGATCAATACGATGATGGCGACGACGAAGTCACTTCATCGTACAAGTTCCACAACGATGAAGTTACTGAACATAATATAAAATCTCCTGCTGGAATAAATCCTAATTTTGTACACAGAACATCACTTATATCACTTCAAAATATGACCTTGCACATGCTATCAAACATTATCTTTGATCATGAAGTTCATTTAAATTGTAAGACTGTAAATATTTTATTTGAAACTGGACAACAGAAAGAACAGTTGGCTAACAATACCATTAACAAACAGTTACAAACATTGAATGGAGATGGTACAAACACTGCCCCATCAGAAATCGACAATTGCAATTTGAATAAAATGGGGGCAGTGAAACTTCAAAGGTCAGAAAACAAAACCTACCGAGCTGTATTAGTGTACATCACAGACGATGGTTACATAATTCCAGAACCCCAAAAAAAGCTCTCGATAGCCAGCCAGAATACACCAATTAATAACAAGAATTCCCAAGCCGAATCTAAGAATCGAGCAGAATTGTTTGTCGAACAGAATACAGATATGCAGTATATTACAGAAAAATCAGTCCCTAATCAGCATGATGATAACCCCACAGTACAGCAACTGATCTGTAATCAAGAGACGGAGAAATGTGCCCAGCGACGGATGAGTAAGGAAGATGCCAGAACAGAAAGAAAATTGCGTTTCCAAAGAGCAAAGTTATTTTTCCAAAAGCATGAGCAGAATAAGCTAGATAAACCACATATATGAGTCATGAAATGATCCCGGAAATAGCATACTGGAACAGAACACTTAATACCAAAGCGGATTAGTTTGGAGGCACTAGACTTTTATGAGAAAAGAAAGGTTTCGTATAAAGGATTTCATTTGATATGAAGGCTTCTTTGAATGTATCTCTCGTCGTGATGTTTTCCTTACGACATTTTGGTCAAATGATGACATCCATGCCTGTTCATCTATGGAAAACAGCTGTTTATTCGTCGAAAGACAAGCAGAGAACAAAACTATGCCCTCAACATGTTTTCTTATCCGTCCAGAAAGAGAGATGGTGTCCTAATGATACCTGCCTATCCTCATAACACCTGCTTATTTCTTGCAAAAATACTGAACTGCAAAATACTAAATACTACACATGTTCTGATATATATGACATTCTACTGCAAACTGCCAACAAAAATCATCTGTTACTGTGTAGATGTGCCTAATTTTAACATTACTTATTCGTTGTACAAAGATATGTCTGGAATTCATAATCAACTGCGTAACTATGTTTAGGGGAAATAGAACAACAATTATTCTACATGCCGCTTGTTGCAAATCAAAATATATGGATAATAAGGCACTGTGTGATAATTTATTAACTATGTTGCAGGTTCAATTCACCACAGAAACTTGCCATAAATCTGTTAAACTAAAAATAAATAAAACAAACAACTCTTCATTTAATCCATCCCATGTCTGTATATATATACCAACAGATTTGTATAAGATGTCAAGTAAATAGAAGTTGCCTATGTCAAAGAATTAAGCAAAATAATAACATGTAAATAACTATTGGTATAAGTTTTATCGGTACAGTAATTTAATAATAGAATCAGTAATCATTATTCCTATTATAATAATTAAAATGGTTTTAGGAAGGAAACTCAAATGATCGTTTCGCTTCCAATACAGAGAACGTCTCAACTGCAAGATAAGCGTATGAGGTTTTTGGTTGCTAATACACATATAAAATATTTATTAGGTTCATTTGATTGGATTTTTTACGTTGGTCGGCCGATTGGTTGTTTATTTATTTATTTATATAATTATTTAAGGACTCGTTATCAGATACTTAGCATACGAATGATGTGCAAATGGCCATATCGAAGGTAAATTATATCGTCATCTTCAAAATAACAGTCCTAGCACATATTCAAACACGGGTCTAATAAGAACTTTAATCAAATGTTCAAAACAGTTTCTTGATACGCCTCGTCGTGATACTAGTTGTTACCGCGTCGACTGTAAAAATGCGTCAGCTATACGACCATTCCCCATACGTTTTCATAGTCTGGTGCTTAGTTAAGCACTGGGACGACTTTACATCAGCCTTTTTATCCACACAAGGAAAATTCTCTAAACCGCGTACGTCTTACCACAATTTATTTTTCACTAAGCAACGTCAAATTTTGTTCCATGGAAACGTAATTTTATTCAATTTCCCTTTTTTATAATATTGTTTAACCAAAAGTCATTATCTTTCATGTTTTAACTATATTAATTTAAGAAGTGTTAAAATGACTCAGAATTGAACAGCTGCAAAGATGTTATCGGAGTGAGTGACACTATGTCAAGGTGTTATTTGAATACGATATTTCGACTTAAAGAACGTCGACTTAAATGGTTTAACCTACTCTGATAACGTACCGCTTACAGATCGATATCACACTACGAAATCCTAAGTTTTTATACCGTTGCTTACAAATCAATGTAATGGATTACAGGCTTTGTACATCGTGTAAAAACAACCCCCGTAAAACTCCGTAAAAGTGCAATGCGAGACAAGATTTAGTTAAGTCAGTTCTTTAGTACTTATTTTCAAGTTCTTCTGAACAGTGTCCGATAAAAAAACATTGGCTTCCGGGTTTGGTAATTGTCTTTATATAGTATGTGCAACATGGCTTCCTCCGATTTCAACACCAAACACGACCCAAATCAAACTTCCAACCGACGTTACGTTATAACAACAGCACCAATCTTCGACGTGCTCCAAGTAAAGAATCTGCTTTCAAAGCTTTGCTTTACACTTTTTAATCTACGCGTTTTTCCACTTATTCCTTCTCATGTTGTCACTTGCACAGATTTTTAAAATGATTTTCTCTCAATCCTGTGGCATTCACTCCATTATTTATTCACTACTACCAACCTTATAGCTTCATCAAGTCTAGAACTGACCATACGCCTCCCACTCTCAAGATTTTGGTCCCAGAATATGATGGTTCTGCTTTAAAACTCACGAGTACCGAGTCCTGTGCTAACAAATGTCCCTTGTGGTTATCTTGATTCTTTGACACTTTGCTCAGAGCTATGAAAACCATCGTTTTCAGATTTTAGATTAGGGTTTTTTTTAGTAATCAAGTTCACACCTAGAGCTGGAAATTACAGAAAACATTTAAGTAGGCCTAAAGACTACCACAAATTAAAGTAAAGCGTCGGGCTGCAAATATAATTATTTTTAAATGACGTAAACTGAGCAGAACAAACACGGCATAACATCTATTATTGAGGATTGATTACCCCTATTGGGCGTCAATGTTATCCACAAGGGGTCATGGGGATGGTGGACAGCTTCGTATTAGATGTCTGAATCAGCCACTTACATCACATGTCCACTGGTCCTTACATAATTTAGAGTTAACCTGCATACGTAGATAAATGTTTACAGACAATATTCACATCCTTGCTTTCAATAATATATCATTAACATGCTTCCTCATAGAAATGATGATAGCTATAACCTATGAATAATCGATTAGAACGTGAGTTAGATTCCAGAACGTCACAAATCAAACAAATACATGTTTGAATCTGAAAACTGATTTCGTATTGTAGGATATGATTACATTACTATTTTGAATGTTTATAAACATCGTGTCTCCGCTACAGCAACAAAGCATATGATCTTTCAATGCGTAAAATTGGCCTCTCTTCTAGCTCACATAATACGCTGAGCGTCTTGTACATACTATAATCTATCTTTAAAGTGTAAACGAATCCCGTAAATCAGCTATATTCTGAAATAGCTTTGTACAGAAACCTTATACATTATCCTCTATAAAACTACAAGATAAATAATACAAATTAGTCTTTGAAATTATCGTAACAAGTCCCTGCTTGTCTGTTTTGTTGTTCTGTATAAATCGGGACCTTGAGATGGACAGATTAACCGTCCAAGAAGTCTTACCAAGGCTCTGTTAAATATTCGCTATTTGAGAATAAATTCTGACCTGGGACAGGCCACATGGCTTTATCATGACAACGCAAAAAGAATAAACAAACAACATTATTGTATGTATATCAACCAATGAAATGCCAGAAACATACCTCAAGCAGATCACCAGTTGTTTTAGTCTTCGAAAATTCACGATCCACTCACTGACAACATCGTCTTCAATAACTTCACTCACACACACACACGCAGAACAAGTACATCCCTAGCCACAATTCATTCGAAATGTTTCTCACAAAACTCGCAAGGTTACCTATAACCTCAGCTGCCTGCAGCCTAGGGACGCTTACGTAGCATTGTTTTTGACGTCACTGTGGCTGTGGTTATGAGTTAATGTTGACCCAGGTCTGTAGCAAATACTTGCTGCAAACTATGTTCCTACTGTCTCATCTTACGATTCTGAACAGTTAATTTCAGCCAAAAATCACATACATTTCAACACTCTGTGTCCCGTACTTGAAACATACAGCCAACGCTATCTTCAGATTTATTGGGCGACAGACAGGATGTAAGTTCATTCTTTAAAACGGAAATAAATTTCGTTAGCCAGATAACTGTTTAATGAAGCGATTAATCGATTTGTAACGAACGACCCCTAACGGTGTAATGCTCGATTCCAACAGAACTAACTACATTTCATGGTGCTGGGCCTTCTTTAAAAAGTCATAGTTGTTCAGGTCATAAAGAAATTATTTGCATTTCAAAAACCCAGTTCCATTACTTTATTCAAAGAATCCAATAATTCAGTCCTATACCAAGCCACTTAAATCTATTCCCCATACCCTATTTTTTTAAAATGTTTTAATACTACCCTCCCTTCTGTACCTTGGTTATGTAGTATGAGCTAAAACACAGAAACGTACTGGTTTGTTTCTCAAATACAGATATTCCAACTGAAGTACAATATCTTTTATTTGCTACGATTTAAGCCCATGTTACATAACAATATCCAAGGCAATGGCATCTTTATTGCATGTCTAACATTAATTTGACCTTTTACTACAGATGCCGAAGGAGGAAGCTATAATTGTAGGGCAGAAAATGCTACCACACAGACAGCCTCACTATTGGAGCACTTAATTTATTCTCAAGATTATATAAAGAATTTTGTAGGTTAGAAACTGAAAAGTGCTTTCAGAATTTAGGTCATACAAAGAACAGAAGAGAATTTATTTAAATTACACAGATTCATCATACATCAAGCCAAGGATGTAGAACATGTCAGAATGCATTCTGATACCTTGAAAGCACATCTCTAATTTTCAACATATAACAGAAAATTGTACCACACCAAGGCACTCATATCTTAGAATTATGATTGTTCCCAATTTCAATCTTAATAAAGTCTGTTTGTGTCCTACACTGAAATAGTGCTAGTTATAACTACTAAATTCCGGAATAGTCCCTTCCAAATACATACCTATTCACCTTTGTCAGCCTTCTTATCACATTAAACATGTGCAAGTCTATACAGCTGACACACCATCATTAAACAATCCAAGAAACAAACTCAAGTTACGTTGATAGCATTGACATTGGTCACATATTACAACCCAAAGTTCCTATGTAATGTTTACATTGTCATATTCATAAATTTCATTAAAGCACTTATACAGCATGCAAATAAAAGATCTGTACACAGTTTATGTTTAATTCCAAGTAAGAAACATTACGCCTTTTTCTTTCACATTATTACCAAATAATCTTCATCCCTTTTAGAATGTAAGACCAGATCATAGTGCAGTTGAAATAAATAAACAGACAACTAGCAAGAAGCTTCCAAACTGGACTTCAAAATCAAACAGTCAATACATTGTGAACTATAACCACTGGTTTATCAGACTTACCAGGTAGATTTTGTGTCTCTATGCTTGAGAACTTACATTTCAGGTTAAAGAACATTAATGACTAAAGCTGATTGGCTGACTGTAGGCGCACAAGTGTCCTAAACCCAGCCGTCATTATTGTGTCAGTCGCATTAAGTACTGGCACATTTCTTTATAAAAGATCTCTTAGTAAGAAGAATGATGGCTAAATGCTCCCATGTGATCAAAACCCATTTCTCTTTCCTTACCTTACCTGCAAAACAATGGTTTTCAGCAAATAACCAAGACAGAGGACAATGTCCAAAGTAACAATGTTTGTTTTCCTGTGTTGTGCTGTCCTGTGTACATACAGGCCTATGGCTTAAGAAACTTCACACATGCAAGGAGCCAAGGTCATTCAAGGACTACAGGAGCCACAGAATAAATATAGATTACACAGCATCAATTAGAGTAAAATAATTCCTCTTTACATATGTACATCCACTGTCATAAAATAAAATGAACATTTGCAAAAGATGTGAGAGTTTGAAAAATACAACAAACATATCACAAACTCAGTATCAGTTCAGAGAACTAACAGGCAATGCACATGATAGGTGGGTAGAAATCTTTCCATTCACCAGAATCGTTCAGAGGGGTAATACATACTGGCTTGGTACTTCCTTTATTTTGCAAACTGACAACAATAGACTGTGAATGGGGCCATTACGTTACACAACACACAGCTAATGAATGTTAGAATTGCATATAAATGACTGACTGAATTAACTGGCCCAGTCATACATCAATATTTGCCTGAGGGCGTGACTTTTGACACGCAGTCTGAATGTACGTAAAGCAGAATTTAGTCTCGTCTAATTTGCATCCTGCTCACAGTCCATAAGAAATTTTCAGTGAGACATAATAAAGATCAAACATAACCAAATTTGTGTGGTACAGATCTGAACATGCTCACCACACCTTATTTTTTGGAAAGGTTTCCTACTATATGTGGCCAATCATTAAAGCAAGAAATCATTAAAAATGGCATCAGTGACAATAAGAATTTGAGATAATTTATTGAAGAATATCAAAACTTTGATTAATATATGTCAGTGTCAGGTTGATGCACAGATAACTGTCAAATTTTAAGGTTCATTGTACTCTAAGTTGTTTCATAAATTACTTTAACCACTTTCCACAGCCCAGTAGCCAGCATTTCATCCAAATTCTATCTGTTAGATCAAGAATATTCATGTGTAGATGACAAATATGACCACAGATGAAATCCAAACAATGTCAGGGGTGAATGAGCCACTTTAATAGGTGTTCACACTTTGCTGTAAAATGCAGCAAAGTTGCGTATTAACTCAGTTGTACCTTGATAATCAGACTAATTTACAAAGACAACTAGCTGCTAGGTCTGGGGACAGAGACCTCCATCAAGTCTTGTGCAAGAAACACTTTACAGGGACAGTTCCGTGTAGACAACTCATGCTGAGCTTCCTTAAGTAGTGTATCCACACACAAGTCCTGGAACATTTAAATCAGTATGTGTCATGTCACTTTTAATTCTACCGTACATTACATGACCAATATTGGAAAAAAGCATTCAATTTCCTTTTCAGTGTTCCAGAACCACATCTCAGTGTCATTCATAACACATAATGTACCCAGCTTCTGGAAGAGACTTAAAATCATAAATAAGTAAACTTTCTTCAGTCTCAAGTTACAACAAATGTTTTAAACCAACAGAATTTAGGCTGTAACAGTTTTTTATTTTTCTTACATTACTTACTAACTCTGAATCAAATGAAAATAAAAGGATAGCAATAAATGGTGAGACTGCAGGACAGTGAGATGAGTCATAAAGGGCTGTTTTAAATGAGAAGAGAAACCATAACTAACTGCATGGTGCACAGTTCATCTTAGGAAGTTAACAGTGTGCTCAGCTAGTTAAGATATTCACCACCTTTTATGGAACATGAGATTCATTACCAAGGTTATATTGCTTTTGCTTTATTAACAACATCAACATAGACCAGAAGGTAGTGTCCCATTCAGGTTGAAGGCCCTGTGTAATATTATACAACATGTTGGTTTTTTACAGCAGGCAGTTAAGATCCCTCCCAACCTCCAAGTTGGAAGGCCATGCTTTGTCAGCTGTCCATGATGGCTTATTCAATATATATATGCAGATACCTTCCATACTGGAAGCCTCTTCCATCCACAACCAGAGAACATACCTACAGAACATTTATGTTAATACTCAGAAGAAGGAAGTAAAACCATTTCAATGTCTCTAAGCTCCTCTCATGCTAACAAAGCAATGTAGTATAAGTTACCACAATAAAGACACAATCTAGGTTCCATGCTATAAATCTATTTTATTTCCATAATGTGTTGCTTTTGTCTGAACAAATGCATTATTTTGACATCCCTGTGTATAATAACCAACAAGGTTCTGATAATAAAATCCTGCATATAAAAATAAATTAGTGATCCATATTCCAGTTCAGAACATAATCGTGTATCCATATACCCATGTATTGTAAAACATGGTATGTCTGCTAGCATTTATCTGGACATGCAAAAGATGATAACATCACTGCATATATCATGCGAGGAACAAAATAATGTAAATACTGTTACTTAACTTTACACGTAACTTTAAACAGCACAGTCATTATAAATATTTCATTTCAAATAAATTCACTACTACTATTACACTTACAAATTTCCACTTAGGCTGCAATAATTAAACAGTGGACATTTCAGCATGTTTTGGATAATGCCATCATGTTACTAATATATTTCTATATTATTTTCTATTATACTTACAGTGTCATTCACTAGTACCGTCTTATAACGTTGACTAAAGTGATAAAGCATTAGAACTCGCGCACCAACTTTCTCAGCATACTGAGCAGCCATTTTAGGGGTTGAATGACCCATATCGATAGCTTTCTCCTCCATAGAGTTTTCCAGCGTTGCCTCATGTAATATAATATCACTGGACCTACAGGCAGGTATACATTGGTCTTTAAAATTAGGTTAAGCAAGAATATGTAATACAAAAAAAAAATTAAACAGTAATAATCTGCAGTCATGAAAACTAACAATGGGACACTTGAGATGAGTATGGGGGCGCACCTGTCCCAACAACTGGGAAAAGTTGTTCAACACCTGAGTCTCATTAAAATACATGCTGTTTTGTATTTAAATGACTGATTTGTATGATAAAACTTAAGCTGCTATGGTTATACACAAACATCTGCTCATCAAATACGTTAGAATTAACCTTTCATCAATTCCATTTAAAAAACTAGTGTGGCGGAATCAACCAGTTTCTTTCCAGAGATTTAACTTTTATCATGAACATAAAAAATGTTGTACCTTAAAACAAATTATGAACATATTACTTTCATCTAAGTTGACTTCTGTAAAAAGGAAACAAATTCCAAGGCTCAGAAAATTGATTTCAACATAAAACACATAATTACAGAGGTACTCACTGTGCTAAATCAACCATTCTGAATGAATCCGACGTGTCACCAAGAATAGTAATTTTCCTGCCACGTTTTGGAGGACCCAATACTTTCAATGGGTCTAGCTAAAGCCTTATTAAGAAATAATAGATTGTACACATCAGTAAAATTATTTACATTTAAAAAATTAAGCAACTAACTCCACAGAACACAGTTCTTTTTGAAAAGGTGTTAGTCACTCATCCAGCAATAGAATTCATCATTCTTATGGAACCTGAAGGACAATTATCTTATTTTCAAAAGCCTGCCACTGTACCCTATTACAAGACAAGGAGACATTAAATCTGGCGTTAGCCTTTTATGGTGCCTCCAGAGTGTGTTGTCTTCTGACATTCTGCTTCTAATTTTGCCAAACATATGAAGTAAAACCTTCCATTTTGTTTTGTCACATTAAGATGTAATGTTCTTGTATAGTATTGTTGTATGCAATGGTTAGTTTTAACTTCACAGTACACAAAGAACTTTAAAATAAGTATATATAAATTACACATTTCACAATTGAATTTGTCATTTCATGACTGTTTCTAGAAAATCACAAAGGATACAGCTTTTCCAGATGGTAAGGTAATGGCTTCACCGTTCTTGATACGGGAATACAATGGACCTGGAGGAACTCCTAGCTGTTTGAGATACTCAGCATCCAGCTTCCCTGGTTCATCTTGTTCTGCGATCACATAACCAAAGGATGGGATGCTGTGCATTAGTGCACCTGCCTTCACGCAAACATTCTGCCCATCAAACCTGCAGTGCAAGTTGTACAATTAGTTCCACATGAACAACTGAACTCTACATTCCCACATTTTAATAAGACAGTTTTTGTTTATTTGCTAATTGATTATAGTTTTCTGGTCAATGTTGTAAAAATATGATACTGAGGATGATGATATTCTTCAGGATGGCATAAAAGTATAAGAAAGTGGCCACTATTTATTTTAAGAAGCAATCCTAACATTAATTAGTTTGTAAATCAGAGTGAAGACAGTACAATTCTCTGAAATGTTGGTATCCACCTACAAGTCTGCATACTGTCACAACCCAGAACAGCAACACTGTCACTGCCATGAGAACCACAAATTTCACAGTCAAAGTAAAAACAATATGGGAAGAGCAAATATTGTAGAGCAAAAGAATAAATTCTAACCAAAGAAATAAACACTCAACAACACATAACATAAATTTTCTCATACCTGTTACACATGTCATGAAGAACAAAGATACTTGGATGAAATAAAGGAATATATGGACTCCACAGTATTTGTTTGGAATTAGTTCTCAACAAATGAGTGAAACTTAATTAAAATGGAGACACATCTTAAAAAAATAATTCAATAATTTTTAGCTTGTTTTGAGATTTAATAAGTACCTGCATATAACATGAACACATTAAAATAATAAATCCAGATGACATTCCAAAAACCACTTTTTCAGTATCACAAGTATCTTAATTACAATCTCCAATACAATCTAAATGCAGAGTTTTCAACATTTGACAATTCTGCCCATGCCAACTAAATGGGAAGTGTAGAAATGATGTGTTTCCATTCCAAAAATAACAACGTACATGCTGATAAGCTACTCAGTTCTCTACAGTTCCAGGCTACTAACACATTCCAAGTCAGATCATTGGTAGCAGTAATATCCTTCCCCTGTTTTTCCTGCGGATGAAGACTCCCAGTAGCAAGGTTATCTGCAGGCCATGTATTCCAATCTTCAGGATACTGCTCTGCTATAGGAATTAGTTCATGAACCTGTGCAACACAGCATCAGTATTCTTTAATAACAATTTAATATGGAACACTGATCACAAGAAATAATACAGAGTCTAAGATTTCTTACAAAATATAAAAATGGTAGAATTTTGCAGTATTCACCGATTTAATGGAGAATGTGTAGGCAGAAATGTGTGTAAACAGTAATGTTCGATGAATTTATGAGCTGAATACATACAGCATTTAGCTTAACAATATAACCTTTGTGGTTATTGCCATTAAATACATTTTCCCTACTTATCATATATAAGAGACTAAAAGACTGTCTACTCAGTAAATTCTGAGGCAAGAAGCAACATAAGGCACAGGCTACCGAGGATTACACTCATGCAACATTATTCTAAACATGGGTTTGGTTCTAAAAACAAAAAAGCACACCAATCCAGCATGCAGTCCCAGGTTTAAATTGTCACAAATCATGAGGATTTTCTTCCTAAAGATGGCTGTCCTCTGGGTTGTTACGCCATGTAGTCTTCTACCAGGCTACATGGCGCAACAAGCCAGAAATCTTCAGACTCGCCACTGTGAAAACCTCAAATCCTACTTACATTTCAATGTAAAGAAAAAAAAAGACAAGAAAAAGCCCACATCACAGTGCATATGTAAAAGCACGTCATTATCTTTGATGTTATATTTCTTAACACTCTGATAATCAAATTTCAGTTTATAAGTCACTTCTATTGAGTTCAACAGATATCTTGTATGTAAGGCATTCTGTCTGTACCGACTGTTTTAGCCTAATATAATAACTATAAAACTGAATTATACATACAACATAGTTATAAGTAAGAGCAGATCTTGAAAGAATCAGGGTGTCTCTAATAAATTTACGCAGACCCTGTGGTCCATATATTTCCAAAGTAAAGTCATTCCTGTCAGGCACCATGTTCGCCAGTGTGCACATCAGTCCTGGTAAGCCAAATAACTGCAAAATGTCACATAGCATGTTATTTTATAGAAATCATTCTTACAAGTATGCAAGTCATACTTAATAATGCTCAATGACATTACAGCAAACCCTCAATTTAATAGACTAATAGGGAAGAAGGGGTGTTCTGTAATGATGATTGTGTGTTAAACTGAATAGCTGTTTTTACGATGTCAATAATACATCCTTAGACAATAATTTCCATTAGGAACACCATAAAACAGATTATCAACATGAAGTGGACACCTTCAATGACACAAGGTTCATTAAAACACTACAGTGTAAGCCCAAAAAATCCAGAAAAATCTCAAAATACCAGATGGTGTCCATTAAATCCAAAATCTGTTAAATTGAGGGTTTACTGCATTGATATTGTCAATGAGATTCAGTGGCTACAGATACTAATCAGTAAGAACTGCTGACCAGAATAATAAACTATGACTTCCGACCAAATAATGCCCAAAAAAAGGATAAAATGGACATCCATAAAAACATTTCAAGCTTCACTGGAAGAACATTCCTATGGTGCAACATTCATGTGTGAAAGGAAATTACTTTCAACATCTCCCTTAACATAGAAAATGTAATTTACAGCAATCACATATCAGTTATTATTCCTGTCTATCTCATAACCATGACTAAAAAGATAGTCTTCAGCTTGGCACAAAAATAAACTCACTATGCATACTAGTTCCGTTTTAACTGTAGAGTAAGACAAGTAATCCAATTAATAAGTGCCAAATTATATTAAATACTAATCTGAAAACATCACAAAGTAGTTTTACTACAGTCATAACAGTATGGTATAATACAGAAAATGAAAACAAAGTTCTGAAAAACTTTAAATGAAAACATCTATTCACAAAATAATATAGTCACCTGGAGATGGGGAGGGGGGTGGTAAGTAAGCCATAATGCTGTACTAGTTAATAAACAAATGGAACAATACATGTAAATCTGATAAAAACAGATGGCAAGACAGTGCTGAAAAATTAGAATAATTTGCAGACATCATGGAAAGAAATGTCAATAAATTCAAATATGAAATTATATAAAATGTTAAACAAGTGGTAAAACACAACAGTAAGGAATGGATATGAGGAAAAAAATAAACAAAGGTGGTAAATGTAACTTTTATAAGCTCTGAGCTGGATATGCACAGCAAGACAGAAAACAAAATACTGACAATGGTCAGTGATAGCTTGGATTATAAATCTACAAAGCTAAGAGATAGAGAAACATTAAGTTGCTGAAAAAAGTATTTTGAGTCTGATTTCTAAAATTTCTAATACAAGAAGATGAAAAGTGTAACACAACAAATTACAAAAGATTAAAAATGCTATGTACCATACTTTTGAATATGTAAAAGTAAATCAAACCATTGTTTATTTCACTAAAAACATACGAACTATTCAGGCTATTACTAAAGCACAATGCAAACTATCTGGAAAAGAAAAAAATGTTTCCATATAAATCATGTCATTAGTAATTAGATTTGTGAGTTTTTAAACACAAAATGAGACTTGGATGCCATAAAGGAGTATAAGCAAAGTGAATCAAATAAAGCACTTATATGTTCTTACATGATCTCCATGCAAATGTGTGATGAAAATTTTGGTAATACGACTTGGTCGAACTGGAGATTTCTGCAGCTGAATTTGTGCTCCTTCACCACAATCAAATATCCACACAGTGCCATCTATAGGAGCAAAACATACACACTTTCATTAACAATTTTACATTAGCTGTTTTATATTCTATGCAGGAACTTTCACTACCCAAAATTAAATTAAACACTATAGAAACTATACTTCAATTCATCTTCTTAAACAGAACAGATAAGTTTCAATCAGTAAATAATACAAACCACTCAAAGAAGGTACGTTATAAAGAAGCTCCCTGAAGCTAATACAGCAGATACTCCTTCTTCCAGTTTTCTATTTAGTATTCACTTTCATCTTTCAAATACTAAAGTTGCATTCTATTTCCTTTAGAGTAGAGTAGAGTAGAGTTTATTTACATTCCACAGATCCTTCTTAGGACTCAACCAAAGGATGTAGAACATGTCTCTGGCACAATGATTCCCTTGTGACTACACAAATTATTCCACTGTACTTAGCCTTCTGGCATTAGGTCCACGGAATACATGCCTCATTAAGTGAATGTAGCATACAAGTGAGAGCCAGCTGTGCATGATAACTGTATGACTTACTAACATATTTTATTTAAATTTGGTATGTCGTACCACTGTACTGCATCTTCTCTTATCAAAACAACCATGCAATTGTGCACACTTCTGAAGTGAAAACAACATGTTATGCAATGCTTCCGTAAAATATGGCACAATAATCAACGTTTAAAACTTTGAATAGTTGTTGCAAAAAATGGAAGGCAATGTGACAACTGCATGTCAGCAATAACAACTTTTCCACTTCACTGCAATAATTAATAAACACGTGCAGCTCTATTTGTGAAATATGGTATAATAATGTATTATATATGTCTATAGATGTGGATAAAAGTCTTTTCATTTTAAAAATTACAGCACTGACACAGCACAAAGTTTTTAGGTTATGAGATGGAAGGTTTTGACAGCAGCAGATATGTTAGTGTTGATTTTCTCGGTTGTAACTACATGTGAACCTGCATTCAGATACCACCCTTAAGTAGAAGGCAGTTCTCCTGAAAACCACATGGACCAAGGCGTTACAGCCCAGATCAACATCGACATTGTAAGGTTATGAATGGAAACTACTAGTTGTACTGAAATGTACACCAACAGAAATTTCATACATACAGGTGTTGATCATCAAGTTGTAAAGTTATTTATTTTTCTGTTACCTACTATATGCAAAAGTAACTTTATACAGGAAAATTCGCGTTGCGTTTAACTTTTTCCTCGAATCTGGCATTCTTCAAAATTATAGTACCTTCAAATCTAACGGCCGTGCACGATACGCTTCTATTTGAAGTTGGATAACATGATGCAGTTCCCAAGCATATTATCTTCATCTTTTTTTATTTGATGCCGGTTCTACTAGTCATTCAACGGTGCGGAACTTGCCATTACCACATAACAGCGATTGTTATATCATCGTCATCCAAAACACTGGCATCACCATGTAGTCGACTATTGTGAATACTCAAAACAAGTTATTACGTCCTCTTCTTACTGGTCATCGCTACACTGAAACACGTTTCAGCTAAACTGCATGTTACACAACACTTGTTGGTTGCATGAATACAACTTTGTTCCTGATTTTTAATGTCAATTGAAATCTTTGCTTCAAATGGGTATGACATAAAAGGTTGACAAAGAATACGTACTGCAATACACAACACGAAGTCCTATAAATAAAATACATGACAACGGAGAACCTTGGTCTATATACCTGTATATATAAATTCCGTTTAGGGTCATTGCAATTTTTAACAAAAACCACCGGCCATCCAATCACAATTTGCTATATAGCGGACTTCTCAAAGGCGGGTTACACATCAGTTTAGTGGATGGATTTTATGGATCCAACCAGTCACCAAACCGATTCATTTTGTTACGAGATATCTTATCCTAAAATGGGATGGGTGTCTTCCTAGTTAAGATGTGATACATAGAATCAAAATGCTTTAGATCTAAAACCACCACATACATAACACAAACATTCGACTTTATGTAACATTAAAGTTTGCTTGAAATTCAGAAATGTAGCATACAGCAATATAGAGCAATCTACCACTGACATGTGCATATTCTTTCGTCTTCTTATCAAGCATTCTTTATGTGTAGTGACTTCATCGTTTACACTTCGTGTTGTGTTTCACTTTAATGTTGTTGAACTCGGTCTTGATCTGACACAATTTGCGCGAAAGGAAGCATAGCTCTGAGAATATGAAATCCCTTGCTTACACATCGAACATCTGCATGCAATAAGAAATGTTTAGACGTCGCCATAGTCTTATCTACCGAATTGGACTTCCTTTATTCTCTACCGAACAACAAGCAACAGAAAGGCACCTCTTATTACGCAACCCGCTAGCGAAAGTAGTAAAGTCCGTGAAAAATATTTCACACAGTCAGTTTTCAAACATGAGGAACTGTGATCCTCTCAAAACATATTTTCACCATATTTGGCAGTGTCTTAAATTTTATGCAAGTTATAAAGAAAATCAATACAGTTCATAATAGTAGTTGAATGTATACAACTTAGTGGCATTTAAATAGAGCAGCAGAGAGCCTTAGTGGTATTTAAAAGGGACTGCAAAGGGTTAAAGATCCATTTTAATATCAATCTATGTATGCCATGTCTCCAATGTGGTCTTACCTTTACTTTTCTAGCTCAAAGTTGTGTATGCATTTATCACCTCCCCCAACTTGTGATCCTCTCTGAACTGAGTATGATAATATTTGGTGAACAGTACAATTAATGATGTTCCTCTACACTCTTGTTCCTGCCTTTCTTTCATGTCCAAATATTTTCCTCAGCACTTCATTCTGAAGTAACCCTCCATCTCAGTGAGATTTCAAGTTCACAGGAAGTATGAAGATGAACCTTCTTCTGGATTGTTGCACTGTGTAGTCTAGTAGAAACTGCCAGACCTTTTAGAGGTGCTTAATGCCTCCACCATAACTCATGACCCTTATACTGGAGACAGCAAACACATCTGAAACAGTTCCTACAAAACTACATGACACCAACACCCCAGAAGACAGACATCTTCACCAACATTCTTATTCATTGGACTGAGACCAAGAATCATACCTTTTTAAAACATAAGACTTAAAATTACAGTTGTGTATTTTGAAGTTTAGGATTTCTGAGAGGAGACAGTAAGGTCAACATTTATGACAGGGACATGAAATTAAAATGTAGATGTGACAGCTGAGGAAACAGAGCATTTACCAACAGAGATTCAAAAATTTTCATCCATAGCAGAGTTCACTAAGAAGCCCATAACAAATCCAGAATCAACAAACAAATCTTATATCAATATAATTCTTTAACCTAACAAATTTTCACCAGAAAAAAATTCTACTTCATCTTGGATAAATGTAAATGCTGTACAAAATATCTCGTATCACTTACCTAGCTCACCCATGTATGAAGTTATGTTTGCTTGCAATGATGGATAAAACCAAGTTTGATGCTCCTACTTTCATAGTTCAAACACAATGTGCAACAGTGGCTAATATATGGGACTACTAACCCAGCTATTCCCTATATATATGATTCTGAATGTGTTTCAAGGCCACAAATTCAATAGATATTTGCACCTGTATGAACTAGTTCTCACATCTTAAGATGTACCAAAATAAATTAATTTTCACTTATTTTGTTCATGTAACATAAATTCACACCAATTAAAGTAATAAGAAAACAGGACTGCCAAACCCAATTGGGTAAGCAAAAAATAGTCCTTTAGTACTAAGTCTGAAGCTTCTGAACCATTTATGACAATAGCTGCACAGTCCTGCAATCTGCATTTGAGAATTTGCTGCAAAGTGGCTGATACCCCATGAATAGCAGAATATTGTGTCAGGATACAATGACTACTGCAAATATTGTATGTGTGCGAGCACAAGCACGCTGGGGGAATAGGTGTTATACCTAAACCAGAAATAAAATGAGAAACCACTCCTCTGAACAGAACTGCACAGTCTTTATATAGATTTTTCCAATTACTGGCACATTACTGATCATCTATGTATTGCCAACATAACAAAATGAATAATGCTAGCCTCGTGGTAAATTCACATGCCACTACTGTACATGTTTAATACAGTACACTATTGTTTGTCTACGTAGCTAACCATAAAAATTCCCAAATAAACTTTGTACACAAAATCCACATATTAAAATCTGCTAGCCTGCATTCATATTGAATAAGTGAATTTATTTGGGGCACAATTTCAATCTACAACAATCAGGATTTCTCTTGTGTTTGCAAAAATTAAATTATATTACAACCATGGCAATTTCAAAGTATTCACAATGTCATAACAGATAATTAGTTTAAGCTCATTCTCATTCATAAAGCAAAGTAGTGGTTTAGCAGCAAAGGTTTATTTTACATTTCCAAGATAACCATCAAATTCAAATAGCCTAATAACATTGCTCTAACATAGTGGGCCATGTGAATAGTTCTCCCACCTGAAAACACAGCACCAGGCAAAATTGTATACCTATGAAAAATTGCATGTACATCTTAAACAGAAGCTTAAAAAATATGGATGCATGAGACACTTCCACTTACATCTTGCTTAGTAACATCAATTTTACGTGCCTAGCATTTTTACAGTAATATGATACCCTTTAATATATTGGACTGTTCAGTGAAAAATGTGATAGTACGGCATTGCATCTCAACACTGGAACTACAGGAAACACCACACAGCAGAAACTTTCATACAAATCATAGTAGTACCAAACAAGGATGAAAAATCGTGATTTGCCAAGTTAATTCTCACAAGGCAAGTCACATATATAGTATTAGTAAAGCTACACAGGAATAAATCCAAATGAACCAATATCCTACTTATATATCAGTGGTGCAGATAAATAAAGTTTCCATTACCATCACTGTTGCATCATAAGAAAATTAATTCCACTTCAAATAGCAACAGTAATGTATAGAATGTACTTCAGATAACTTGAGACCTACATTATTGTATTTTAATTGCATTTTACTTCAATTTGAGTAATGCCATTGTTATTTGAAGAGCACTGGAACATAGAAGGCCGGCCAGTTTATTACTCTTACATTTTTATAATACATAACACGAAGAAATAGCTTGCTATTTATGCTTTAATAATTATTACTGACAGTCACCCGATGTACTACTGAGTACATGATAAGAAGTCATTGCTGTCTGCCACCTCTTTTCGTCGCTCTGTTCCCAACGATGCCTCAGACGGTCACTGCCTTTCATCAAGTTTCTTCATGTAGTATACATGTCCCACCAGTCCTTCATATCAATCACTTACTCAAAACACTGTCCTCAGTTCCATATATGTTAGGTTTTTTTTAATGCCGAGCCTTATGGCGTACAACAAGCTTTCTTGGCTGCACTGCTTTCATCTGTTGGCTCCACATGGATGGGTTTCATATTCCCGGACGGTGTGTCTTCATCCGGGCTGTCCGGGATCTGCTTCTGAGACACGATGCGGTAGATTTCTGTCCAACACAACCAATACAGTGTAAATGGAAACATTTTATATACTTTTGCAGAAAAATCAAAACAAAAGCATTAGAACTTGTAATGTGTTCACCTACCAAATTGCTAAACAATTCTTTTCATGCTACACAAAAATATCTCACAAATCTGAAATTATTTTATGTCCGAGAAGAATAGTGACAGAAACTGTCCTACCATTTCTCCAATTGAAACTATTTGTGGTTTTTCAACAGAAATTATACATTACCTTGAATGTTTACCAACAAAAGAAATATCTTTAAACAAAAACAATATGAAAAAGAGTTTATAAAAAGTAAAGTACATATTCAATGTCTCATGGCTGATAATTCCTATGTTGATTGTTCTACATACAATCTGCCATAAGTACAGCCTGAGTCTACACAGCATAAATTACATAATTCTATAAAATATGACCTTTTAATGTCTCCATCTTCTTAGAGCAGCTTGTACTACATACATTTTCTGAATGACAACACTTTATATTATTTTTCAAATTGATGCTTGTTCATTGTTACATTCATGGATTATCAACTTATCTGCACAGACTCCTTTTCAATTTATTTAGAAGAGTGACATGTTTCTAGCTGGACATAACAGACATAACTTTCTACCAGATACATCTTAGGACTGTCATTATCATCTGTTCAAACTTACTTCATTATTCAAAGAACAAAGGAGCTTTCTGAGTCTACATAATATAAATTTGTTGGAAAAAAGTGTGTTCTCTTGTTATGTATAACTAATGACCATAAATGATAGTCGCCTACAAACCACAATTCTTTCCTCTCAACTTCTCAAAGCTAACCAAATGCTTCAACACAGCTGCTAATTCAGCCTCACAGATTTTCACAAGAAAATCAAAGCATTATTTTTCTTCACTGTCTGGAATAACTAGTTTAATAATGATTTGCTGATGATAATCTGCTTTACCATATCCAACATTTCTTCAGATATGGCACTTACACAGCAAATTTCATTCAGAATGTTTAAGATTGTTATCCTCATCCATATCCTTTCAGGGAAGTCATGTTCAATAGAACCACTTCATTACATTTCTCTGTCATTTTAAATATCAGTTTAAAAAGTTACTAGCTTTGAAGCACCATAAATACAATTCTTCAACAAAATATGTTTGGGCGCAAAGCTTCTGAACATGACCATACACCATGCAACAGTTATCCAAAGTAATGGTATGGAACTGGTTTCAAAAAATGTAGAGGCTTGGAATGTAAGAAAGGTTTCACAAGCAACAAGTAGCACATCCTGAAGGCTATAAAAGAGAAAATTCAAAGAAAAAATATTCAATATACACCTAACGAAATCAAGAAGTAAGAAACTACAACATACTCCAGTCACGTTATCTACATGTAATACAACATCTTAAACATAAGTGATCATACACAAATCATTCTGAGTATATAACCTGGAAAAATTCATCCTATTTAATTATAAATCAATATTCTACAATGAACTTAGGGAGATTTCAAAATGTATACATTAATGCAAAAATTGGCTGAAATAAAAATTTGTATGTATGTACGTATATTAGTAAAAGTAAAAAAGTAAAGTTATCCCACTATATGCCATGTAGGCACTTGGGAGGCGAGGTGGCATAGCTCCTATTCATTCTTAACCTTGACACTAGATAGGGGCAAGTGGTCAGCATCACGCCCTGGCTGCGCTTTACCCCCCAGAAAGGATACCGATTGGACAGGAGGCTGGGTGGGCCCCAGAGCTGGTCTGGATGTAGAGGCTAGGGAAAAAAATCACCTGCCCCTGCCACGGATCAAACCCGTCATCCAGTCCGTAGTCAGTCACTATACTGAGCAAGCTACCCCAGATTCTATGTAAGTACAACCTGTTATATGTAACCTTCCTTTTTGAGGGTCAGAACATGAAAGCAAGCAGGGAAGGAGGGAGATACAAAATAGATACAGTAAAGGAAGAAATGGGAATGAGATAAAGATACCAAGAAATCATTCCCATTAAATCACACATGAACTCTGCACAAACATAATGACATATATTAAATGTTTCATTAACAATATCACTAATTAAATTATTATTCAGAATTGCAATTATCAAGGATGCAGAATGTTAAAGGTATGTTAATGACTGAACATGTGTTCCTTTACTTCTAACTTGTACCAAAATAACAATACTGTGCACCTTTCAACTACTATACAAATGCTTGTCCTGTATCTGTATGCCTAGAAAATGAAAGTTCAAACATTAAAGGAAATGAAAATGAACAATGGTTACACAGCTTCAGGCATAATTCAACTTTCTGGATTAATGTATACTATAAATCATGAGAGAATTATGACCTGTTGCAAGAAAGGAGAAAGTCATGACTTTTGGCAGTAGTTCATTATTATTACAATGTGACTGTGGAGTCTTAGGATTCATACAATGGTGTTGGGTTTCATTCAGATACATAATTTTCATGTCTCTCCACAGAATATAACGTTGTTAACTAATTAATATTGTATTTTACAATTTTATGATTTTCAAGCATGGCAATTTGATACAGAAAATTAAAAAGCAAAGGATATCATCTTCATGTTTATATTGGTTAACCTTTGCCCAAAGGCAAGGATAACTGAATACACTTTCAAAACTGATGGAAAATACATATGGTGCCAATGAGATATTTTATGACTCTCCATGTATCAACACTGTATGACTAAACTCACTGAACTATTTTAACCAATATGTGATAAGCTGATTTGTATATAACATTACACCAAACATTTCAACATGGTACCACAATCTTATGTAAAAGGACCATAGGGAAGGTAAAATTAACATTCCTAACAAGTAACCTTCATCATTAACTATAGTAAGTAAATAAACAGCTCCTTAACACAAAGTAATTTATTTTATCAGATTGATAAGTTCAATATTTCCTTTACACTTCCCAAAGCAGTAGCCTATAATTACGTAACTGCTTTCCCCAACACAGAAAGCAAGACATCAATAAAAAAACTTCTATAACCAATATCTTAAACAAAAACAAATATATAAACAATAAGGCAAATCTGCTATCACTGAACTTGTGTATTCATAAAGTATGCCACAATAATCACAATTATAAACTGTCACACAGGCTTTTTATCACAGTGACTTAACACAATATTACTTATCTACATACAAGCAGTTCTATTTACTGATATCTATTTTGGGTTCTGACATGCAAAACATCAGAAATGAATATTAAAGATGTCAACTGTAAATAAGCAGAAACAAGGTGAACATACTATTACAGCCTAAGATACAAAATAACACAATGCTCATGCAAAAGAAATCTATTTGTTACGCAATCAAAATATTCCATATACATGCATTACAGTAAGTAGCATTTCGTGAGTATCAACCGGATCCTATCTTAAGTCATCAGCACATGAGAGCCACTATTTGGTTATATGCATTTTATATATATATATATATTGTATTCAAAAGATTGTGATACTAAAATCCAATTGTACAGAACCTGCTGATTTTCAAATCACTGGCAACACTGTTTGCGAACACTGTCTGCATTCACAGTCGGCTTCACATCAATCTGCTCAACATTGTGCGGTCTGATCGTATCTCCCTCAGGAGGGTCACGGATTTGCTTCTGAGATACAATCCGATAGATTTCTGTCACGGAAAAACCAGAGAAAGAAACAAAACATAAGAATGTTTTTTCAAAGAACATAATAATAATAATAATGCGAAGTTCTTCAATGTTAGCTTTATAATGCATCCCTAATAATGTAAGGCAATAATAAACAATAGTGGATGACAGGATACAATGGTTTGGTTGGGAACTGAAGTAAAACAATTACAGAATTTACAAGATTAGATACTACAAAAATACAAATTTTTAATAGTGGTCAGAGAAAAAAGCAAATGGACTTTACATTCCAGTTCTTCAATTATTTTAAGCTGGAAAACCTATGCAGAACTTCAAACATTTATGTTATACACATCTAATCAGTTAATGGTATGAGGCACAAAGAAAACATATTATACCAAGAGTTAATGCTTTAAAACATTTTCCAGTTGACTATCAAATGCTGAAGTACCAACAAACATAGCACATGAAGTTCAGAAAATAGGCCAATTATTACTAATTAAATATTCGTGCCTTAAAATAAGAAGTTCAAAGTGCAAAATGCTGTGGAAATACTGACAGCTACAAAAGACCAGGCATATAAAGCAAGATAAACAGTGTACAATTAAATTTCAAAAATTATATTTGCCTGATCTGTAACATTGCACTTCTGGCATTAACAAGTACCAATTGGTCACCATTGGAGTAATGCATGTTAGTGTTCCAAATGTTCTTGGTTAAAACACTCTCTTATTCCAAGACAAATTACTCAGATCAACTTAATTTATTTAATGACCCTGTCAGTAGCTCAGATTACATAGCATCATACAGTAGAATGATTAATGATAAATTGGAAAGGATATGAAAGGAAGCAGTGGCAGCCTAATTTAAAGCATTGTCAAAGCAATACATGTCTAAAATGTGAAAAATATGGCAAGATGGGTACTGCATCGTGTTAGATACTCAGATCACATTATGGCACAAACACTATATAATGGTAGATTATGGGCAATAACAGGCAAAGTTGTCCTTTGCTAATCACCATGCTATGTAGATATATGGGGGAGTAGAGGTAAAGCTTCACATATTCTTTAATCTCTACACTAGATGGAGATGAGTGGCCAGCTCCATACTTCAACCACTTCCTCCCTGAACAGGATAGGATAGAGAGATTACATTTCAGTCAAATAATATGAGCATGCATATGACAAAATAAAACAAATACTGAACAGTTATCTGCACACAACCATGCAATACAATATCAAAATCAAAGCCAATTCATATAATGTTTTTTTTATATTTTCCACTGCCAGCCATTATAACTTTAAAGAAACTGAGAATTTAAAAAGTGAAGCTTTCACGGCGACTGTAGTTGATGAGAGACTCTCGGGTTACGAGCCGCGTCAGGTGGCTGAATAAACCACATCTTCTGCCAGTTCTCATCGGCGAGCATGCTATAAAGGACCAGATTTGTTACACAGCAGCCCCGAAGATGAGAGCAGAGATTGCTCTCGAAACATTGGCAGAAGATATGGTTTATTGACCATTCAGCCACCTGACGTGGCTTGTAACCTGGGAGTCTTTAATCAAATTTAGAATTTGTTTGTAACATCATTAAATGCTACTGTAGGGGAGAAAAAACCCCGCCCATCAACTTCTCCTCTACTGTTATGAAATTTCATTCTGATCAAAGAATTCTGATTAATTACTCAGTACAGAAATTAAACTGTACAAAACAATAATCTTGCCTGTTGTTTTGTATGGGTGCGAAACATGGTCTCTCACTCAGAGGGAGGAACACAGATTGCAGGTGTTTGAGAACAGGGTGTTGAGGAGGATATTTGGGCCTAAGAGTGAAGACGATGGGGCGTGGAGAAAACTGCATAATGATGAGCTTAAAAATCTGTACTCCTCCCCCAGTATTATCAGGGTGATTAAGTTGAGAAGAATGAGATGGGCTGGGCATGTAGCGCGCATGGATATGGGGGGGGCAAGAGGTGTGTACCGGGTACTGGTTGGGAAACCTGGGGAGACCTAGACGTAGATGGGAGGATAAGCTCAGGCGGGATCTATGGGAGATAGGAGTTGAAGGAAACTAGATTTTGTTGGCCCAGGACAGGGTCCAGTGGAGGGCTTTGGTTAATTCGGTGATGAACCTTCGGGTTCAGTAAGCCATCTAGTTAGTTAGTTAGTTAGTTATGAAATTACCCCAAGTTGTTTATGCTTGTTAGATTTACAGTAGCATCCCAGGATAAAAAGAAACCTTCACAAATTAGAACATTCTCATAAATTGCATTACTCCTTCCATCTGAACTGCAAATTCATAATGAATCATCATATACAGTTACCTTGCCTTCACAATATATGACTGACTGACTGACTGACTGACCGAGTGCTTCTTTGGCGCAACAGCCCAAAGCCGAGCCTTGGCCTCCTTCCATGTGGGAAATTTCTTTGTCTTGTCTTCACAATATATACACCACACATTGGCAAACATTAACAGAACACAACATTGTACATTACACAACAGAGAGATGAGTGACATGCAGCAAGTATGGAGGGAAATTAAATACCAGTATATATACAAAATTTTAGTCAGAAAACACGAAGAGGCCACTTACAAGACCATGCATAGATGAGAGGCCGTTAAGATGGATTTTAAGAAAATAAACGGTACGAACTGGATTCAACTGACTCAGGACACAGTCCGGCAATTGGCTCTTGTGAACAAGGTAGTGACAAAGCAGGTTCCATCAAAGACAGGCAACTTTTCTGACCACCTAAGAAACTAACATCACCTCAAAAATACCTCTGCTCTATGTAGTTAGTTGACAGTATAGAATTGAAATAAAGAACTGCTGGTGCTCTATTACCACTAAAGCTTCTACAGTTTTGTATCACACAGTGCTAGAAAAGTTTTTCCTAAATACAATACAGGCAGCATATTGTATGAATCAGACATTTATAATTTATTAATTACAAGCAGTATTAACTGAAACAATATATAACACATTGGACACAGTACTGAATCACAGGAATATGAACTCTGTAAACGGTTTTCCATTTTCACACAAGAAAGAAAAATATTGAGATTTTCATATGTTAAGGTATAAATATTATTACATAGTTTAACATCACAACCCAACAATAAATTAAACCACACCTCTATCATGAATTTGCCCTGGGGCAATACCAGTGTATGTTCACATTCAAAGTACTGAGGCAAAAATTATGACAGGAAGTCTCCACATTACACACAAAAGAGGGGGGGACATGGAGAAAATGAGTCAACAATAACAATGAAGTATTTTAGACCACGAATTCATCACTCACTTACTAATTACATTCTTATGAATCAGACAAACCAACATGCTAATAAACAAAGGCCACAAACAGTACTCTCATTTAATTTTCATATTTCATACAAATTATTCTAAATGCTTCTTGTTAACACCTCAGAGATGTAATGTCCAAAAATTCACATAAATGTAATATAACTTACCTTGATTTTGAAGAAGTACTCATGACTCAAAATCAATAACATGCAACAAGCAAATACATTCAGTACACGACTAATAAAATGACTGTGGCTGTAAAACTGAATATACACTAGACTACATGCAAAATAAAAAACATTAATCAGATTGTTTCAAACTGTAAGGAGCAAATTCACCTTTTTTTTTGAACCCAAAGGTTCATTATTACCATGGTCACAAGAAAACAAAACAACCTAAAATGAGCCTGGTAAATCACCTTCAAACACTAATTCTTTCAAATCAATTTTAAAATTATCCTTCCCTCAATACCTCAGCATCTAAGTAGTCTCTTCCCTTTAGGTTTCCCAAACAAAATTTTGAATGCATTTCTCATTCCCCCATGCTTGCTGCATGCTCCATCCACATCATAATATTTGGTATGTAAAAATTAACTTCCTCGCATAAATTTATCCATCCTCTTCTTACTTTTCTCTTTAGGCCACGGTACATGGTATAAAATCACAGTAAATTTAACAAAACAATGGACCATCCCATTTTACAAGAATCTATACAAATCACATAATAAACATCAAACAGCTGTGGTTACCTGTCAGAATATTTTGGAAGGCCGTTTCAACATTTGTGGAATCCAAAGCTGAAGTCTCAATGAATGAGAGTCCATTTCTCTCAGCAAATGCTTTGGCTTCATCCGTCGGGACAGCCCGCAAGTGCCTTAAATCTGATTTGTTGCCTACCAACATGATAACTATATTCTGGTCTGCATGATCCCTCAACTCTCTCAACCATCGTTCCACATTCTCATATGTCAGATGTTTTGCAATATCATAAACCAACAGTGCTCCTACTGCACCACGATAATACCTGCAACATATCATATACTGTTATTCAAACCTTACCAGGCTGCTTCATACAGCAAAATAACAAAACCAGTGTTCCCTACATGCGACTAACAAATGTTGTAATCCACAGGTTTTTCACTTTCAGTTTGTTCTTCTTGACAGTTAATACTGTCATATGTGGAATTTTATGAGAAATGGAAACCAACAGACATCAAAGCATTTTTTAAGAAATAACTAAATCAGAATTTTTCAAACTTAGTGCTACATGAAAACCAAATTTCTGGACTCCTGCAGGTTAGTACAAATCACAGAAACAGGAAATTGCTTTCCCAGAACGAAAGTGTTAAATTAGGACTAAAAGTATATCAGGCATTACTCGTGCTTCCACTCAAATATTAACATTAATGTTCATAATTCTGGGTCCCGCTAAATTTAAATACTGACTTTCATTTTGCCATAAACCATAAATTACAGTCCCAAAATTACATCTAAATTTTTTAAATTGGTTCAGCAAATATTTTTAACCACCTCTTTCTTAAATAAAATGTCTGAATACATGTATAATGACTGCTTTATGTTCTGTTCCATTATGAACAAAATACATACTTCAAAATTACAAGTTAATTAATCAATGTTGGTCTTGTAAGTTGTAAAGCTGTGAGGACTTGTTGATACATACCAATGATTCAGAGAAATATAGTCTCCTCCATTTTCAGGGCCAGAAGACCAACATTGACATGTCAACCACTGTGAAAACCTCAAATCTCATATTGCAATTTAATTACCCAAATAATACATAAGTTTCACATTTCTGTTGCTTCTTTAAAACATGGGTTTAAATCCTATTAGTGTGATGAATCTTTCATTCTCTCACTGCTCAATTTAAAAAAGCTTTAAAAAGCTATAATCATAATTAAAATTATACCAGTAGTTTGAAAAATGTCTTCAAAGAAATTGTGACATCCAAATAAAATGGCAGCGAGACTAGAGATAGACAAGTGCAGAGGCAAAAGCTCTGATTCATTTTCTTCATGCAAAGAGCAACACACAAGATGGTACGATCATGCTCCTTGACAATATGACATCACACACAGCCTAGCTGTGGTTCCAGTGATATGAGTAGGAGGTATTACAGCATCCCACACACAGTTATAACCTCATGTCACCCCTCTTTGGGGCCCTCAAATGGCACTTATCACGAAAGTGGTTTATTAATGATAATGTGGTGGTGAAAACATCATTACACGTGCCTCAGCAGACTTTCTTGCTGGTAAAATGCCTCAATATGGACTCTGGTTACATATAAAAATGATGTTATGTCTGCATGCATGAAAGCAGATGTATTTCTGTGATCATAAATATCATGTTACATTGCCAATATCTTACTTTTCAAAACACCTGTGCCACGATAAAATTCTGAAGTGTCATGGCAACCTGGAACCTTTTTATTCCTTACCGGACATGTTCATTGTCTAAGCTCATCTGATTTAAATGATGTTTCAGGAATAGGCTTTATTCCCATTTTTAGCTAACTGGTATTTATTATACTGAAAAGTTTGTCTTCAGCAATTTAATTTTTTTGGCTACATAGTAATACTTAGGACTGAATACTAAACTCAAAAACCAACCACTCTTGAGCTCAACATCAAAATATTTGAATTATAAACATGAACTAAGAAGATTAGCACTCAAGCTATGTATTCAAAGTGTTCTGGGTTTGATCTTGACCATGGAAACTTATCTTGAAAACAAAAATAATACAGAATAAATATGTTAGCACGATAACCAACAATCAGATGACAGAAATAAAGCCAATTCCCAAAACACATCATAAAACACAAATTAACAGGATAATTTGCAGCATAATTTGAGATGAACTTAATCAACTACAGGCACAAATATAGAATCAAAATCACTTATTATCATACAAGCAAATAATAAACAATCCATTAACATGGTCTTTTCTAAAAAGATCCAAATTACACAAATATATTACCAATATTTAGTTTACTTCTAACAGCATGTCATGAAAAACAGTTCCACAATATATTTATCAAAAGTGACATAAGATTTGTCTTCTAAATTTGTAATGTTAATTCTTAAATTCAATGATAAGAATATGCATTAAATATCTGTAATCCAGCAACCAAGTCCAATACCACTTCACCAGCCTAAGCCCATGATGACGCATGGACCTTAAATGATGGGGAACCTCCCCCCCCCACACACACACACAAAAACCTTTACACCTAAAATTTTAATTTTTATCACTGATTACATGAAATCTTTGGTGTCAAACTTACGCAGATGTAATAGCTCTATATCGCTCCTGTCCTGCTGTATCCCATATTTGGGCTTTGATAGTCTTTCCATCAACCTGTGATGCAACAGAAAAATTGAAGTGTTATATTAAATTTTTATGTCATGAGGAATGGTGGTGGGAATGACTGCCATATTAAATATTTACACAGAGCTACAGAAACAACAATTTATATATCCTTCAATATTAAAAACTAAACACGCCTCTTTATAAATAAAAACAAGGCTCCAGAAATACTAACTAAATCTAACAGCCACTCAACAAAATCCAAATGCCAACACATTAAGCCCAAGTCTAAGAATTTACTTGCCAGAGTATCTATTTATTATATCATGGGAAATTAACAAGTATAGTTTTTGAGCCCTGTATATACAGGTTCAAATGTAAAAACAAGTTCTACATATCAAAACAACAAATAAAGTTAATACAAACATGGAACACACAATGTGGCCAAGAAGTTAGAAATCCTGAGACTTTTGTGGTTTTCTTCAGTCCTTCCAGGCAAATGCTGGCATAGTACCTTATATCAGGCCACAATTTCTTCCATCTATACCCCTTCCAATTCATTATTTATCATATGACACTATACAGTCTGAGCTACTGGTTCTTTTTTCTAAATACATGCCATAGAGGCATTCAGGGGGAGAGAAGGTATAGCTCCTCCTCATTCTTAACCTTGGCACAAGATGGGGGTGAGTGGTCAGTGTCACAATCTTGCTTTACCCCCAGGAAAGGAACCCAGTACACATTGAAAAGGAAGCTGGGTAGGCTCCAGAGCCTCATCTAGATGTAGAGGCTAGAAGAAAAATCCTCTGCTCATTACTGTGATCAAACCCTAATTGTCCAATCCAGTCAGTCACTACACAGAGTAAATGATCCTAAACTTATAGCTATTTTAATACCTACTTTTTAACGATTGTAGAAAGAATGAACAGCAGTGATACCATAACTCCAAAAACCGAAGATGCAAAGAAGTTCTTGGCTAAGGCAATTCCTAATTCATTTCCAAATATTAATCTTATTCCTACCACACCAAATGAAATTAAAAGTATAATAACTTCTCTCAAGTAAAAAAATTCATGTGGCTATGATGGAATTTCATCTAAAGTACTTAAATCTTGTGTGGATTATATAAGTATTCCATTAAGTTATCTCTGTAATCATTCAATGGCTGTAGGAATGTTTCCTGAAAGACTTAAATATTCAAAAGTAAAACCACTATATAAAAAGGGTGAAAAATCCTGCATCTCTAACTACAGACCTATTTCACTGCTGACAAC